TGTCAGAGCATTCCACCGTTTAATGCCAAGAGATTTTCACTACATCATATGGAACCATTCATGAAGGCCCCAGAAGTAGATGAAAACTATAAACTCATCAATGACGCTCGCATCAGGACTTATAAAGTGGAGGACAAAAAGCTAGCGCAACTAGACACAACCACTAGATGTACCTTCTTCGGTTTAGCCAGATCTAGGGCCATCAACGAAACCCTAATTGCGAAGTTTGCAAACTCTACATCTGAAGAAGATCGGATGATCTATTCAGCCTTACTGACCCAAAGGAAAGACCAACAGTTCATGTCAGAAGACCTAGCATCTACATCGGTGGGATTAACACTGCTACGAAGACAGGGTCTACTATCATCTTGTAAATGGAGTGAGAAGTTCACCAAACCACTATTCAGAGCTCCATGGGCAGCAACGAATATCTTCGCAGGAGAAATTGAGGGCGTGGCTAAAGAAGTTACGAAGGAGTCCAGAGAAGTTATGATGATCAAGTCCATCAATACACTGGCCAGCGTTATCAGACAGACATCACAGCGCTACTCTGCCAAATCTAAATTTGCAGGGATTCAGAGATCTAGAGACAAGAAATATGGCACTTCCAAGGGATATAAGGATTCTTTTCGTCACCCCACCGGAGCTCCTAGAGGTAGCCCCGGAAGAGGCAGAGGATTCAGAGGTGCCAGGAACTTTAGATGTTGATGGACAGGGTCGGAACGACTGGAGTCTTCCATCCCCAGCCGTTCCCATACAATCCTCACCAGTGGGTGGACGCCTTCAACTTTACTGAAAGAATTGGGGGATTCTACAAGACGATTATGTATCCCAGATACTACACAGAGGTTACAAGATAGAACTGCAAGCGGTTCCACCTTTAACAAGCACTCCTGAGATGTACAACTATGCTACCTATCAGAAGGAGAAACTACTCGATGCCATTACAGCTCTACTCGACAAGAAGGCAACCGAAGAAATAAAAATCGTCACACCAGGTTTCTACTCCCAAATTTTTCTGGTTCCAAAGAAAAATTCCAAGGAAAAGTTCTGCCTTATTTACAACATCAAAAAGTTCAACCAGGATTATCTAAGAAAGCCCGAAAGATTCAAAATGGTACATCTTCCACAACTCAGACAGACTATCCGTCCGTCAGATTATCTATCCAGCATAGATCTGCAGGATGCGTATCTTCACATCCCAATACATCAGGACTAAAGGAAATACCTACGATTCCTATTCAACGGACGTCACTACCAGTGGAGGGTACTCCCGTTTGGAATATCATCGGCCCCCTGGTTGTTTACTCGAGTGACAAAGTCCATCGTCAGTTACCTACAACATCAAGGTCTACTCAGTGCGTTTTACCTAGACGACGGGATTCAAGCTCATCAAGATCCCAATCTACTCAGATGGCAACTGACGTTTACGATCAAGCTACTCACTCAGCTAGGATGGTTAGTAAATCATCTCAAATCGGAATTAGAGCCTACACAGGATCTACAATTCCTAGGAATACGAATCGTCACTTCAACGAATCGTCTATTAGTCCCGGAGGACCGTTGGATCAAGATACAACAGATGATATCACAAACACTACTCTCTCCGTTACCACTACGAGAGTGGCAGAGTCTACTCGGTCTCCTCACGTTGGCGCAAGATATGACACGCAGAGGCAGATAACTTTTGCGCCCACTACAAGTGTTTGTGAACGATAATCAAGACAGTCTGGATCCATTTGTCCTACCGAACGAACTGAAACCATACCTATTATGGTGGACACATAAGTCGAATGTCTGCGCAGGAACCTACTTAGCAGAGCCAGGTTCCAACACTCATCTCTATGCAGATGCGTCCCACCAAGGATTGGGAGCTCACTTAAACAACAAAGTGGCATCGGGAAAGTGGTTGAATCAGGAGCAAAAGCTACACATCAACATGCTAGAGTTGAAAGCAGTCATAAACGCCTTACTACACTGGTCCAGCATACTAAGGAACGCTCAACTGATGATCCATACGGACAACTCCACAGTGGCGTTCTACATCAACAAACAAGGGTCAACAAGGTCAAGGATCATGTTGGACATCAGCTTTCAACTATTCAGAATAGTAGACAACCTGAACATCGACATAAAAGCGTCACACATTCCCGAGCCAGAAATGTGATAGCAGACGCCCTATCCCGTCCTATGAATCCGTCACCGATGGAGTGGATGTTACATCCAGAGGCATTCAAGGACATCATTCGGACAGCAGGATCCCCACTGGTAGATTTGTTTGCAACCAAGTTCAACAAACAACTACCAACATTCGTCTCTCCGGTCCCAGATCCTCAAGCATGGGCAACGGACGCCTTGAGCATATCAGGGGAAGGACTAAATGCGTACGTGTTTTCTCCACCAGCACTAATACCGAAGGTATTACAGAAAATCAAAATGACAAGCAAGTTACAACTTATTTTGGTCGCGCCTTACTGGCCAGCGAGAGAGTGGTTCCCCAACCTCATACAAGAAATAGGAAATCCAATCCTACAACTTCCAAAGTGGCCAAATCTACTGATTCATCCACACACCAAGCAAGCACACAGAAACCCAACTATGTTTCAACTACACGCATGGAGCATATCACGACTTGCTTGAGGAAAAGAGGATATTCCACCAGAGCGGCCAAAGCAGTAACTTTAGCCTTACGTAGATCAACCTGTAACTTGTATGATGACAAGTGGCAAAGTTTTGAGAAATACGCTCGGAATAAAGGCTTCACTGCAATGGAAGCAACACATCCTCAAGTGGCGGAATATCTTTGTCATCTTAGACAGATAAAACGATTGAAGGGATCTACACTCTTTACATACCTAGCGGCCTTGAGCTCGGTTATCACGATGGAAACGGGTATAAAACTGACAAAGTACCAGAGATACTGGCACTACTACGCTCATTCAAGTTGGAAGACCAACAAAAAAACTTCAAGGCGCCCGCTTGGGATCTCAATGTGGTTCTACAACATCTTACCAGTGAAGATTACGAACCACTAGAAAGGACATCATATGGGAATTTAACTCATAAAACACTGTTCCTCGTAGCCTTAGCTACAGCGGCAAGGATGTCAGAAATTCATGCTCTAGACTTCGAACGAACAAGATTTGACACGCATCGTGACACAGTGCATCTGGGACTAAGATGGGATTTTACAGCAAAGAATCAACTGCCCGGTCAGCCAGACAGGCAATTCCATATCCCAGCACTTTCGTCGATATTAGGACCACAGGATACGCAAGATCGATCCTTATGTCAAGTCAGAGCATTGAAAATATATCTACAGAGATCTAACTTGAGGAGACCAAAATTCAAGCACCTTTTCATCCCTTTATCTACGGAGACACCTACAGAAGTCTCACGTACAACTATATCAATATGGATGAGAGCCTTCATATTGAAAGCCTATAAAGCAGCAGGACTTGATCCTCCACGAGCCTCCAATCCTCATGAAGTCAGAGCACTGACATCGACACTAGCTCTGCACGAAAACTGCTCCATATCAACAATAATGGAGGGCTGCTTTTGGAGATCGGAGACGGTATTTGCCAACCACTATCTCAGAGACATGGCTACAGAGGACGTCTCCGGCATCCACCAGTTTGGGCCCCTTGTTGTAGCACAACAACTGACGGTACCTCACAGACGCTGAGATTATCTCACCCCTTTGTCACGTGACTTGTAAAAGCCAAAACTCAGCAGAGTCCATGCGCACGTCTAGGACAGACTAGCATCAGTGATGGACCCTGTACTGGTAAGGACTTACTTGTACACGAAGTAGGGTCACTTCTCCACTTGATGCAAGCATCAAGAGATGTTGTATAAATCCACACAGAATGTCAGGAGAAGATTTCAAGGATAAATCTGACAAGTTGTGGTCCCCCACACTCATCAGAGGAAGCTGGAAGAAAGGACAAATGCCATTAGAAGTTCCCAAGGCGGTATAAGGACGTAAATCAGCAGAGAATCCAGAGTGGCTTGACCCACCATCGTTTCCGTCGGATTCTACAAGCAATTAAGCATGAGTCAGGATAAGGAAATATATGTAATTTTCTGACTAAAATTGATATTTTATACTTATCCTGACTCATGAGGTTAGCCCTCCCAACCTCCCCTCATGGCACTCTGGATTTCCCTGCAATTCCAACTGACTGACTCACTGAGTTTGGTTTTACGCCGCTTTTAGCAATATTCCAGCAACATCACGGCGGGGGACACCAGAAGTGGGCTTCACACATTGTACCCATGTGGGGATCTGCAAATCCAAGTGTCGGGCTCGAACTAACGGAGAGAGTAACAAGCATGGCCGATCATGTGACCTTGGGCACAAGGGAGACAACTGGGGTGAGTGATTTTACGTCCACTTTTTTGAAGGGAGCTTCAAAAGGGGATTCAAGTGTTCCACTATAGTTCGCAAGAAGAAGAAGACAAGCAATTAAGCATGAGTCAGGATAATTATAAAATATCAATTTTAGTCAGAAAATTACATTTTAACATAGCTATTGACTTACGATCAGTTTTCCTTGTCTCTCGACTCTTGCACATGATATTCGCTTGTATTTGTCCGTAAATGCCTCAGATGATCCCATTCGGTGCCCGACATCCACATGAAGCTGCTATAAAAGCTGAGAACAAGCCGAAGAACCGCTTCCTTGCTCTATATGCTTGTAAGTAAGTCATGGCATGTTGCATTTGTTTTGAGTATAACTACAATCATGATGCAAAGTCATCAGAAAATAGTCCCCATTTCTTCCTTTATATATAGTAACATTATGCCTTCAAAATGGATGATCACACATTTTATGCGGTATATGCTCTCTCGTGGAATCCCTCGGTCACTGGGTAATGGCTCTCTAATACAAATGCTTTGTGATGCAGAGAATGATGGTAAGAACGTGACATCTGTGAAAATGGTTCACGATGTCTATAGCAGTACTAGACCAGTCCGAATAGGAATTGTGAAATAATTTATAGTTTATATTTTAGGCCCATACCATAACTGTTTCACTCCAGCAAATGTCGTCTTGAAACATTTCGAGTGAGTGAGTTAATATTTGACGTCACATCGGCGATATCTCAACCATATCGTGACGAAAACGATTTATACAACAAAAAATGAAAACATTTTGGAGAGTAAAACCTGTCGACGATGGACAGTAAAAATACTAGAATATCACAGATATGAACATAAAACTAGCATGTCAAACTAAAAGAAGACAATGCAATATAAAAAACGGGCTATAGATGAAACGTTTCGAAAATTTATGAACCAATAGATTTGAGTATTGTTGATGCTGAGTTATCTTGATCAGATGATGATTCGAGGGTTGTGCTGGTGGATGGAGAAGATTACATTAATGCCAATTATATCATGGTGAGTACGATAGGGGTAGGTATCTAATGGACTTTAACATAATGATGGAAATCATGGTGAATAATTCAAATATTTATCTCAAATGTCCAATGTTAGTATGATGTTCTTTTTCTATACATCCGATAGTTCCACAATGAGGATGTGTGGCATATTGTAACTTTGTATCTTTTCACAGGGATATGATGACACTCAAAAGTACATAGCAACACAAGGTACGAACTATTTCATATTATATGTCAGATGTATTCTTCCGTTCAAATGTTGTTATTTTTAAATTGTTTAGCGAAAGGATTTATGTACGAATAAAGTGTGGTTTGTAATACGAGTTAATTCCTCGAAGAACGTTTTTTTTAAAATATCTTTTGCACCAAGGACCCAGACCGACGACAATCACGGACTTCTGGCAGATGGTGTGGCAGGAGGACGTCACACAAATAGTCATGCTGACGAGGCTGATGGAGGTGAACAAGGTAGGATGTGTTAAGGGATATTAATTTTCTGTGGAAAGACAATCAATAAGTTTTCTTTCATAACACATTGCAAAAACAGTGGTCGCATCCTAAAAGTACATTGTTTGTATGTGTTTCCAGAAAAAGTGTGAACAATACTGGCCTGATATCAGCAAAACTAAAACTCACGGAGACTACAAAGTTACTAACAAAAATGTGACAGCTAGGACTGACTACACGGTCTCAACGTTTCTGGTAGAAAATTCGGTAAGTATAAATATATAAAGTCAAAGCGTCATGTAATGTTTACCAGGAAGAATGGCATCTCATACCGATACAAGTGTAAGTCTGGTGTTTACAGAGTGTCGAGAGGACCGTGACGCACTACCACTTCACATCTTGGCCTGACCATGGTGTTCCTTCTGCTCCTGCCCTCGTCAACTACTGGAGATTAGTCAAACAGGGGGACATGGACAGGGGGCCTATGGTGGTACACTGCAGGTAATTACAAGTGTAGAAGAGAGCACAGCTCACATACCCCCGCTCCACTCTTTGGGACATGCTCAAGCACGACGTTAAACCCAATTTCACCTCACCTCACCTTTGGGACATGGAAATGACTGATATTGATATATATAATGTGACAAGGATCAGCAGCTCACAAGACGTTCTCCTTGACTCTGCTAAACTTTATATACATGTTAGATAATAGTTTTGCCATGTACTGATTACAGTAATAATTTATGGAAACATTGTTTATGTGTTTTCCGTGGAAACCTGACATACATTTGAACTTGTTGCACACAATGAAGTGGACGTAGATGAAGATTGTTATTTTTAAGCACATGGCATATCTGTGGGTCATGATTAACTTGTGTATTAAGTTTGGTGAAACTAACATGTATAGTTTCGATGATATGCTGTGGCCAGGTAACCATCAAACACATTTTGCACCAAGTCATGTTTCCATGGAAACAACAAGGAAACAAATTCTGAAAAAAAATTAAAATAGCAAAAGGCACATCAATGGGTAATGATTAACATGTGTGTGAAGTTTTGTGAACCTAGCATGTAAACTTTAAAAGATATGCTCCGGACAAAACCATCAAACACATTTGGCACTAAGTCGTGTTTCCTTGGAAACAGCAAAAAAACTAAATTCTGAAAAAAAAATTAAAATAGCAAAAGGCACATCAATGGGTAATGATTAACATGTGTGTGAAGTTTGGTGAACCTAGCGTGTAAACTTTAAGGACAGAATGAACGCTATATACCCCCGTTACTTCGTAGCGGGGGTATAAACATGTATAAGTTAACTCATATAAGATCTAGATGCTATTCACCGGTGTCAATGGCATATTATCTAGATGTCAGAGTGAATGTATAGAGGTGACTCACTTACAGCTGAGTGGACAGCATTAGCTGTTCACTCCTGAGTGGACTTCAAGTCCAGGAACGTTCTGGCATCAACTGATTTGTGTACAGAAGATCCACGGACGTACAACGTCGGTAAAAGACATGATCAGAGATGTGAGATGTCAAATTCTAAAGGTTTCGAGGATGTAAAGGCGACGACAACATTATTCAACTAAGCAAATGATCATTTCAATATTCTGAAAGAATAGTTTCCAACGAGTGATATTCATATGTTCAGTGCTGGAGTTGGCCGAACAGGAGCGTTCCTTGCCCTGGACTACCTGATGGATGAAGCTGAGAGCAACCACGTCAACGTGTTCATGTGTGTCAGCAAGATGAGACAGAACAGGATGAACATGGTCCAGACCGTGGTGAGTGCTTACTGTGTAGAGTATATTAAGTGTCCTATCTAGCAAATATATCGGTTTTACGAGAGCACTTTAAGATGGGAGCTTTTAACTTAAAGACTATTGAAGGTAAAGAAACACCCCGACAATGATATCTTCCTTCCAACAGCTTTACACATCTATGGTTTGGACATGTTTTTCTAACAGAAATCTTTAAACATTATGTCTGCAACCTGATGAATTAACGGTGGCCAGTATTTAAGCATAGTATCATTTTATGCCTTCAGTATAAGTTGTTATAATATGTATGTTCCATCAAGAAACAGTACGAGTTTGTGCATGACGTGGTCCTGGAGGCTCTCAATAGTCGCGGCACTCATTACACTTTGTCCGAGTTTGACAAAACCTTTGGCGTTGGCGAAACTTATACAACACCCCAGGTGGATATACTGAAAGGGCAATTTGAGGTATGTAAATATCCAGATAGCTATGTCGCATTTCCTTTAAAATCATTTTCTGTTTTGTGTTTTTGTATATTTCACATGATAACCTTAATACACAGACGAAGCAACTGGTTTGGGTTTTAGTTACTCCAAGAACAGGTATCTGACCTTGAAGAAGCTGTAACGTCAGAGGCCTTGCTTCCAGAGAATTCATCCAAAAACAGAAACCATCATGTTCTGCCCGGTATAAACTTATTGAAATATTTATTTCCTAAAAGTACCAGAAACTCACAAGTACTTATCAAACTAATTCAAATTTCGTATTTTATTGACACAACATTCTCTAGTTATACGCTGATTCTAACAGAGAAGTTTTTAACGTCTTGATATACATTGTTGCAGGAAACAAGTCCAGGCCCTACCTGTGTACTCCAGTTCCGGGTCGGAATGGCTACATCAATGCAGTGTTTCTGTCGGTATGTTGGTTAGTAATTATTCGAACAACACCAGCCCATGTGAATGACACATTCAGGTGAATCTGAACACATTAGGCCTACTGCTGCTATGTGACCATTAACATTGACAAGTAAAAGCTACGTAGTACATAGCTTCAAAGTGTCGTCATCAATGGAAATTAGACAATGATGTGTCAAAAGAAGTGGTGGTACATAAGTTGTGCCTATATTTCAGTCGACTCTCAGACCATCGTCCATGATCGTCACCCAGACCCCACTGCCAAACACTGTGGTAGACTTCTGGAGACTGGTGTACGACCATGACTGCTTCACAGTTGTCTGTTTGGATGACTCTCAGGTAAATGTATTGGATATTATTTTGACCGTTTGTACCTTCTGATATAAATGAATCCAAGCTTCAGAGTGACCCTAAACCCTATGTGCGGCTGTGGTAAGATACATATATATATATTATCAATATCCATATACTATCTCCAAGACATCTAGGCATTTTATTGGTACAATATATTTCACGTACTAATTTTACAGAACGCATGTAATATGATATTCCCTTTGTTTTAATCCAGGAGACAGCTAAGCTCTACCCTAAAGACAACAACATGCTACAAATTGGACCATTCAGTGTAATACACGTGGAAACCGTTTCAAACAGAGCATTCCTTACTGAGAGAAAGTTAACACTTGTTTATGACAAGGAGGTTAGTCCTTTCATTTATTTTCAGTCATGTAGACAAGCATCTAGTTTCCTTTTAATCGCATGAGGAATTTGCTTTATGCAGTTATGCAAAATTGAAACACATATATGACGTTATGGTATTGTCCTACCATCGCCAGCGGATGAAGGGATGGTGTAAATCCAGCTAAGGCCAATGCAGGTAGCAAAAGTAATGTAAATCCCCATGGTTCCTAGTATGGTGATCTGCCTTCGGTTGTTGGCGATCTATAGCCCGTGTTTTATATTGTATTGTCTCCTTTAATTACACTGTTTTAGTTTTACATGCTAGTTTTATGTTCATATCTGTGATACTCTAGTATTGTTACTGTCCATCGTCGACAGGTTTAACTCTACACAATGTTTTCATTTTTGTATTATATAAGTTGTTTTCGTCACGATACGGCTGAGATATTAACTCATTCACTCACTATGATATTGTCCCTCGATGTTTCAGAATTAGATATTTGATTGAGATTGCAGCCCTTGTTGCACTTGTTTCATCGCGAGCTGATCCTTAATATGCATGACTCTTTCAAGTGTTTTGTAGGGGATTTTCCTCGTAATAAAGAGTGTATAGTTTTATTATATTCCTCTCGTCATCACACTAATGTGGTAACTTCCCTCACAAGATACATGAACATGTCATGGATAGTGAAAACAATCCAGTAAAAAACATTATATGTGTAGAGATGTTGATCGATTTGCTATTCGAGGATCAATTCACATAAATGACAAATAATTCTGTCCCTGTTCAGGACACAAAGCAGTCTGTCACTGTGTTCTGTCTCCGGTCGACGTACATGATGGAGAGTAGTGCTTCACTCTTGGAGCTTATCGACATGGTGGAGAGAATCATCAGATCTGAGGACCATAAGATCCTCATCCACTGCTAGTATGTATTTTAGATGTGTCCATGTACAATACAATCACAAATTTATCATAAAGGTACAATGTAACAAAGATCCCTATCGTCAATATTCCATTAGGCTTGTACACATTACGTTCCCATCTCTCATGTATACATACGATCATGCGATAAATAAATTATGCCATGTATTACTCACGAAACGCATGAGCCCAATTCTTTTGCCTCATATTGAAACAATTGCATCACATTTGTGTTGAAACTAAGGTTGTACGACTAAGGCGAATATTGCTGGAGACATATTCCCGTATTGCTCTGCAATATGTACCTTCATTGGTTTCTCTGTTGCTGGCATTAGGCCTTGGTTCTCCACTCAATTAATACCGACCATCCTCAGACTGACAGGAGATGTTTACCTTTGTTGAATGTTGTTTCATACATTATGAAGTACTGACTAAAGGACACCCCTTGCAAGAGCATTAATAGCAATTTAAAGTGGAAATAAGTGAGTTCATTCTTAATGGGAATGAGGACCGCAAAGAGACAATGGCTTTGTGGTGTTGTGCTTTTTAGCAACTTGAATGACATGATGGTTTCCATGAACCAGTGACGGTGCTGGAGTGAGCGGCGTGTTCTGCAGTGCCCTGAACATCATCAGCAGACTGAGGCTCGACAGAGACGTGGACATCTTCCTCACCATCAGGGAACTGCAGCATGTCAGACCACAGTTTATACTGTCCTTCGTGAGTGCAATGAATGTTCTTTTAATTCTAAATATAATTCATACGTATCGATTTTACATGTCAAATACCACAAGCTTTATAACCTCTTAAAAATGTCCGTTCTACATATCACGATTAGTATTAGATTTTTAAAGATCTTTATTCATTCTACAATGACAAACATTAGAACATACTTTGGATTAACGACACTACAGCAACCTTTATATTAAATGACTGACGAAACACTGAGAGTTACACATTGCTCATGGATGTAAACCAGCTT